AAAAAGGCTGGCGGTCATCACTAGTTGTCAGTCAATTGTTGCAAAAATGCCCCAATTGCTGAATCAGATGCATCAACAGCAATACTCAAGGAGCATTGGGGTCATGATGCATGAGCATGGTTGCGTTCGAAATGGCTTCCTTGATTTTAGAGAAAGCAAGTCTAGCTACGTTGTTCAGAGCCACGAACTTCGCAGTTCCTCGAAGTAGATCTGTTAGTGGTCACACCACAGAGGCACAGTTGGGGATAAACCTTCGGTAATAACTTACCAGGCCATTGAAAGTGCGGAGATGTTTCACAGTGGTCGGCTCTGGATAGTTTGTGATAGCCGCCACTTTATCTCTCAATGGGCGTATACCTTTGTTGTCAATGGTATGCCCAAGGAAGCTGAGTGATTCAACTCCTATTTCACACCTCCGTAAGTTGACTGTGATGCCATGTTTTTTAAGTCTTTCAAGTGCGAGGTCCAAATGTTTAAGGTGAGTTTCCTTATCTGGACTCGCGATTAGACAGTCATCGATGTAGACGTGAACAAAATTCAAACCACGGAAGACATCATCCATAAAGCGTTGGAATGTTTGTGCTGCATTCCGAAGACCAAATGGCATGCGCAGGAATTCAAACAGGCGAAAAGTAGTAATGATGGCTGTTTTCGCGATATCTTCTGCTGCCATAGGTATCTGGTTGTACGCTTTGACCAAGTCGATTTTCGAGAAAATGTTCATTCCGCATAAGGTTGCAGTCAAATCGCAAACGTCAGGCATCGGGTAGGAGTCCGGAGTTGTTTTGGCGTTAAGCCTTCGGTAATCACCGGTTGGACGCCGGTCGTTGCTATCCTTTTTGGGAACCATGTGCAATGGCGATGCCCAATAACTGTTTGACGGTCTGATAATGCCCAGTTCGAGCATGTGGTCGAATTCGCTCTTCGCCGTTTTGAGCTTATCGGGGGCTAAACGGCGCGCTTTGGATGCCACAGATGGACCTGTGGTTGTCGCGTGATGCATAACATTGCTGGTTATGCACGGGAGTGTGCTTCGGTTGCTGCAACTCTGGATATCTCTCCAAAACTGCTTGGTAGGACGCGTCGCCTGATTGCTTGGTTCTAACGATGGCTAAACTTGGACCTACATAGGTGGTGCCATCAATAGATAACTTCGTTTTGCTATCTATCAGTCGTCGACGGCGAGCATCTACGAGTAGATCGTAATGGTTTAGCAGATCTATGTCAATGATGGGCATAGAAACGTCAGCAAGGAGGAAGATCCAGTGGATGGGCTTACGTAAACCTAAGTTGAGGTAGGCATACTGTCTCCCGAATGTCGCGATTGCCTTGCCGTTGGCTGCTTGAAGATTGAAGGATGGGTCATGATGACGCTCCTTTGTCGTTGCGGGAAGAACGCTAACTTCTGCGCCGGTGTCGACGAGGTAGCGGACTTTCGTTTTTATGTCGGTGACGTAGAGCAAACGGCTGTTTCCTCCGGCTGCGGTTGCCGTGAACACGTGCCGGCGTGACCGTTTCCCGAGTTTGTGTCCTTCTCAAAACGGCATGGTTTACGACATTTTCTGGCTTTGTCTCCGTAAGTGTTATGAAACCAGCACCATTCAGGGTTTTACACCCTGCTAGGTTTAGTTTTGGGGCTACCACGAGAGTTGCTGCGATGCGCCAAGGTGCGTTTCTGTGAAGTGCTAAGTGAGTTAGGACTTTGAGATCGTAGCAACTGTTTAGCAGAGTTGCACAGCTTTGTCACCTCCGAATCCTGGCGCTCTGGTTTGTCGCAGATAGAATATACGTTGGAGACGGGTCTGCTAGAAATCTCCAGTATTTTATCTGCTGAGGCTGCCAGGTCATCGAGTGGGACTGACTGCAGTGTCACCAACACGGTTTGCACCGGTTGTGGTAGTTTCGAGAGAAATGGTTCTCGGAAGAGGCCATCGTCGAATGTTCGTGCACCCATAGCTTCTCGCATGCGTGCGAGAACTTCAGTAGCTGAGTGGCTGCCTAGCTCGAACTTACGAAGTAATTCGTCTAGACGCTGGCGATCTGTCCGATCGCTTTTCTCCAAGAGTGCGGCCTTAAGAAGTGCATAAGGATCACTCACTTCAGGATCAAACATGTGTGCTGTAACATACCTGTTTAATTCCGGCGGTAGTGAACGTATGACAGCAAGAAATCGAGAATGAGGATCTGAGACTCCCTGTTCTCGAAAATCGGCCTCGGCATACAGAAACCATGTTTCTGCATTGTCTGGCCAATATGGCACGAGTTGGATCGTGTTCGCAGTCGGCTTAACACGAATAAGCTTGGGAGTGTGGTCGGACATGAGAAAGTGTAGTAAATGGATATATAAATGTTATCGAAATGAAAACAATATACAAATATAAAATGGAACAGGCTCACCAATTCAATATTTGTCATTGGTCGGGATATGTGATCACGTCGGGCTCACCAATTTAGGATTTGTCCTGGTGTGAACTTGACAAATGCAAAGACCAATCACTAATTATTCGGACTTGTTATATACCCACGAATACGAGACCAAGGAAGAACACGATAGCGTAGTCGGATGGAATAGTATATTTGGATAGTTGTGCCAACATACCGATGCGTTCCAACTAACTGGCTAGAGAGTCGGATACGAGCAGTGCAACGTAACACGACAGCGTGCCAAATGGTGAGGATGCTTGACCGGGTGCCTTCAGCTTGGCGAGTCCAGCTAAATTATCGAGGTCAGCATCAATGTTGAAAGTCGTCAAACCCTATGCTATTGATTTTGGGGAAGTATGTGACGCTACAATGATATGAACTAGGGAATTCGTCAACCATTAAGGTGAGCAGCGGAATTAAACTAAAACGGGAAATCTCATGGCACTTGAGTTAACGTGATAATACCTAAATGTTTTTGCAAATGTAGTCAGGTAGTCAAATGAACATAATTATAGGCGAAATTCATGAGGCACAACAATATAAAGCAATGCCACGTCTCGTGGAGTAGGTTCTCCGGGTATGTGGTCGTTTTATGCC